GCCTGCTTCTCCCTCTCCCACTCCCCCTGCTTGTGTTCCCTCTCTCGCTGTGTCTCTCTCTGTCAAATAAATAAATAAAATCTTTAAAAAAATATATATATTTGGTACTCTATAAAGAGAAACTCAAATGGCCAACAAAAACATGAAAAAGTAACTTAACCTTAACAGTAAATTTTAAAAGATGCCCTATCACTCAGCAATTCCACTATGTATATACCCTAAAAACAGGGTGTGTATGTAGTTTGAACATTCACAAAATTGCTTGTCAAACAAAAAAAACAGCTCAAGTGTCCATCAACAGTTGAATAATATTCTTAAAAAGAATACAACAGTGCAAAATGAACTAGTTGTTATCAACACCGATGAATTTTACACAATATAGAATGAAAGAAATAACAGAAGAATACACATTCCATTTGTGTTGTGTTCAAAAACAGGCACAGTGAACAGTATACTCTCTAGGTTAGGGGTTGACAAACCAAGGCCTGCTGGCCAAATCCAGCCTCTGAGTTTGATTGGTATGGCCTATGAGCTAAAGTGGTTTTTACGTTTTTAAAGCATGTGGCCCACAAGCCTAAAATATTTACTTTCTGGCCCTATTCTACAGAAAAAGTTTCCCAACCTGGAATGGTAAAATTATAAAAAAAGCAACAAAATTGTTATTGCAGTCAGGATGTTTCCTCTGAAGGGGAGGAATAAGAGGAATCTTAAAAAGGGAGGGTAGACACATGGCACTGCTCAGATGTTGGTGATGTTCATTGTCCACAACCGTGGGTTGGGATTACAAGGGGAAATACACTTCATTCTTCTTTAAAAACGCATGTATGTGTGAATCACACCTCACCAAATGGGAGAAGTCATAAACTGTAAAACGCACCATTATTTTATGTATTACTAAGAAAAACACTACTACTTAAACTACAGTAACGTTTAATTACAGATTTTCAAAGGTAGAAAAAATGTCTATCTTAAGGCTGATGAAAGAACTACAATATTGCACAATTTTTTAAACAAGGGAAGACAAATACCTTCAAAATTCCATGGGAAAATGATTTCTAAAACAGAACTCTACAGAGATAAGCTATTATCCTATGTAAAAACAAAAACATTTTTGGAACACAAGATCTCAAAAAATTTATACTAAAAACCACTAATTCAGGAAGCTCAGGAAGATGTGACCCACCATAATAAAGGAAAGGAAAGTAAGAGTGAGGATCCAACAAAAGAAAGTAAGGAAAATTCTCAGGATGACGGTAAAGTCAAGTCCCAGCTGCACAATTGTGCAGTAGGCCACTGAGAGTATAAGAAAGGAGAAATAATGGCAGTATACTATGAGGTTCGGTTATGGAAAAAAATGTAATATCAAGATGTGACTTACAAATGATGGCATATCCGAGTCTAACTGGCAGTGCTTTTTACTTTCTTTTTTTTAAGACTTTATTCATTTGAGAGAGAGAGAGTACAAGCAAGGGGGAGGGACAGAGGGACAAGTAGACTCCCTGTTAAGCAGGGAGCCGGACATGGGGGAGGGGGGTGTGGCTGGATCTCAGGATTCTGAGATCATGACCTGAGCTGAAGGCTTAACCAACTGAGCCACCCAGCTGCCCCTGCTTTTTACTTTTTTAGTGATACTAAATCAATAGGGCATCTTATAATGGATGGTATCCTAGATATGATGCAGTACAATATACAGGGAGAGATAAGAAAATTATGTTGGCTTAAGAGAGCTAAATCCTTAGGTTCTAAATGGAAAGTTAATAGACAACATCAAAAATTGGAAAGCCAAGAAATAAAGTATATTGGGAGCACACAACTCTTGATCTTGGGGTCCTGAGTTCAACCCCACATTGGGTATAGAGATGAAAGAAAAGAAAAGAGAAGAGAAAAGAAAAGTAGCAGCATAACCATGTTAGTTAGAAATACAGGGTTTGGAAAACAGGAGAAAAAGCTAGTTGAAATGGTTGCACAGGGATACTATTTTTCACTATAAGCCTAGATGTACTATGTATATATACTATAAAAATAAAAATTGAATTAAGAAAAAAAGGGAAGAAAATGAGAAAAAAATGTGGGTGTAAAGATTTAGCACAGGAAGAGGTCTACACTCAAATATATCTTAGGAGGGGCGCCTGGGTGGCTCAGTCATTAAGCGTCTGCCTTCGGCTCAGGTCATGATCCCAGGGTCCTGGGATCGAGCCCTGCATCGGGCTCCCTGCTCTGCGGGAAGCCTGCTTCTCCCTCTCCCACACCCTTTGCTTGTGTTCCCTCTCTCGCTGTGTCTCTGTCAAATAAATAAATAAAATCTTAAAAAAAAAATTTTTTTTAGGATGGGGTACCTATCCTAAAGGTTGATGCCCTAACTCTTTGATATCAACTCTCCATTATTTGAAAGCCTGAATTTACCAAACTAACTTAGAATTCATTTACATCATTGACTAATTACAGGCACTTAAGTGCAAACAACACTTTCCACCAGCTTCCATTAATTGGTTCTACCAAACTGAGTTGGCTGACACCAAAGACATGCAAACGTGAAGAAACATTTTATTTAATTGGTTAAATTTTTATTTTTAATTAACATATGATGTATTATTTGTTTCAAGGGTACAGGTCTGTGATTCATTAGTCTTACAGAACACCCAGCACTTTATTGGCCTGTGTAGCTTTATCATAAATCTTTTTATAATACTCAAAGCAAGCTGACAATCCCATGAGTAAAAACTATGATAGAAATACATATTAAGTGCAAATAAAATTGCAAATTATAACTCTGCAAACAAAGGCTAACTATGGTCCCATAAGTAAAAGATTGATGCCTCAGTGTTTACCTTTTCTTTGTAGACACCTTTAACAACATCAGACATCCTACTCTCCAAAACAAGTTCACCTGGAGTTCTTGATGAACTTCCGGGTAAAGGAGGAAAATTTGAGGCTAGTAAGTCAAACTTTGGTGTTGGAGCCTTTGCTTCAGCTGATGAAGACTGAGGTCTCTAAAAGACACAAATCATAAAACAGGTCACATGCCAATCTCATTCCCTAATCCTGTACCACAGAAGCTGAAAGCTGTAAGGAAACAAACAAAACTCTACACTAATGCAAGAATTGTTTGTTCTCCTATAAATTCCTGGCTTCTCATCTCAGTTGAGCTCTATTTTTTTATCAATCCTTACCTTTCGTCAACTTCCTCACCTGTTTCTTTTGCAAACTTTGCCACATTCCTTAAGCCTGCTAACCAAATCTCCACTATTTGCTAAGTTTGTGATACTCCCTTCCAGAACAAAAATAACCCCTATGTGACCTAAATTTGCCATCAGCTTTTCTCCTTTCATATAGTCTCAAGAGAACAGTATCTTTCCTTGAAAAATCTCCTGATCTGCCTTTCTGCCCACCATCCTATACCCTCTACAAGCCTCACCTCTGTATTCATCACCACTAAAATTGCTTTGACAAGTCACCAATGCCTTCCACAATGCAAAATCTGACAGACTCTTTTTCCTAACCTCGTATAGCACCTGGCATGGTAAACACCCTTTCCTTTGGGAGCTCATTTCTCCCTTAGCTTCTGTGATACCTCTTTCTCTTGGATTTTCAGATCTCACAATCAGGTGCTTGTGTCTCTCTACCTACTCCCTTTGACAGTTTTATAATTTCTATGTGGTTACTACTCTTTTCACTTCCATACTCTCCCTGTGTGATAGCCACTATTCATAGCTTCAACTACTACCTATATGCAAACAACCTTTACAACAATCTTTTTCACTTTTGGTGACTGGCTACACACCACTGGAAATTTACCAAAACTCACTGAATTGTACACTTTCAATATTCTCAGCCCAGACCTTTACCTGAAAACCTAGACATCCATTTGTCTATGAGCCTTCTCTGGTCAGATTTTGCTTGGATACTTCAAACAATATAATAAGTAATCTCATTCTTCAGCTCAAAGCTACTATTTCCCAAAGTTCCATTCTTGACCACTCTAAATCACTTACTCTACAGAGTCCCCTGAATGATTTCATCTACTTTTATGATTTCAATTACTTTGTGTAAGCTGACAAATCCTAAATTTTATCTCTAGCTCATATCTTCTTCCTGCACAAATGCAGCACTTCCACTCTGCCTTTCCTACTGGAAAGCATGTTTGTCTCCTTTTTCTTCACCCCTTCAGTCCTCAATCCTCAATATATTTTCAACATATTAAATGGACTTCAAAACTAAGCTCTTCTCTCCTCAATTGTTCAGGGCCATTTGAGGATTCATATGGACTGTTGCAATGGTATCCTTCTAAAAAAGTTGTTGCTATGTCATGGCTGCCCATGGTACAGAAAGCTATAAATGAAAAAACAATACTATTTTAAAAGGTTCACAGTTTGCCGTAAGGACCATTCTGTGTGTTATAATGCAGTATGTTTTCTTCTTTGGAAATGCTTATCTTTTCACTACTTATGTATGTAATATTTGTATATTATATGCAGCCTACATGCTATATGTATAGTACACTTATATGTGTATACAATTCACTACTACTTATACACATAAAGTATTATACTATAATTTATGATTTATCTGTAAATTCTAGGCAGGGTTTTCTTGAGACCTCTGTGGTCTCTACATCATTCTGATGTAGACCTCTACATCATTCTGATTTCTCAACTCCTTTTGCTCTCAGTTAAGACATGGCAAACATTCACCATGAACAAACCACAAAAAAATAAAAACATGATTAATTTGAAGCTAGGTAAGTCAAAATTCAAATAAAAACATGTCTAGAACTATAAAATTTTTTTAATTTATAAGCAGTTTTATAAGATTAGTGGATAGAAGAGTAAGTAGTAGGTAGAAAATTGCCCGCCCCTGCCAAGTAATGTTTCCAACACCATCCAGAGAGCTTTGTAAGTGAATGATAAACTTTATCAAGTTGGCAAAAAGTCCTATCTTTATTGGACTATTGATAAATAGGAACTTTTGTTCAATGTCTGTCAGAGTGTAAATTGGCACAACCCCTACAGAAAGCTGTAAGCTGGCAGCAACTTACTGAACTGTGACCCAGAAATCTCATTTCTAAGGATTCTCCTTCAGGTGTTATTACACACATAGGAAAGAAGTTACCATAGCTACAAGACTGAAAGACTGAAACTACTTAAATGTCCATTAACAACGTAATAAACTTTTCATTGAATATTTTCATTTTTTGATTTTTAAACCATGTGAATATATTAGGTATTCAAGTAATTTTTAAAAAACACAAGCAACACAGATCAAATCCCTAACTATACATGTGCTTTAATGGTGGCGCATAGTGGTAGCAGTGGATATTTTAGGGTCAAAGCACAAGTTCTATTTACCTTTGTCTAATACTATAATCAATAAGACAAAAACCTGGAAAGACCGACCACAAGCCAATGCCATACTAAATCACAAAAGAAAAAAACAAATGAATAGATGTAATAAAGGTAAAAAATACTTACCTGGACTCTCTCATCTTCTCGTCGTCTTCGACCTCTGAAAAGAGTTCTCCTTTTAACAACGATAAAAAAGGTGGGGATGATGGGAGGGACAACTCATAAGTTTCTTCAAATATATAATACACTCTATCAAAGATGGGTGAATTTCTAGTTTAACTAACTATATTTTCTATATCTCCACTATTAAGAGATGAATATATATTCTTCTGAAGGGATCCTAAACTAATCTACCAAAAACTTCATCTACTACCACCACCACCACTAAATAAGTTGGACCATTTTTATTAAGTAGTGTTCCTTCCACACCAGAAGTATATCAGGGTTTTTTGTTTCATTCGAGCAGAGTAGGCAATAAGGTATAACCCCATTTCCATAGTTAAGAAGTTGTAAGAAATTAAACTAGAATGCAGATAGGATCTTCCTAAGCTATTCTTTCCTCAGTGAACCATAAAGAACTTCAGAGTAACTTTATGAACCTCTGACTCAGAGCTATATTCTATATGGGCACTATAAATTTCTAAATAATTATGAAAACTATTAACCCATATTATGTGAACACTATTCAATTAGTACAACCATACAGCAATAGTTAAGTTAAAACAAAAAATAATCACTAGGTCTTCAAATATTCACATTACGAGCAAAGAATTGTCATATACTTTATCCATATTTATTACCATATTTCCTTACCTGCCCCTACCATAGTCCCCATTCTGTTCCATCTGTACAGCAGGAGTTTCTTTTGGAAGGTAGCTTTGCTCCTGATGCCCTGTTACTGTAGGATTATGCCGTTCAGTTGGAAAGTTCCTTGAACCAGATCTGTTTAATGGTCCATCCCCCAATGACACAGAGCCTTCTGTCGAGTGTTCTGAACCACTCGATGACCTAAAATGAGGCTTCACACTATAAGAAATATAAGATCACATACATGAGAGGATAAATCAAGACAGACAAAATCTTTCCCCTTAATGGTAAAAACTCTATTTAATGGGACAAGTTAAAAATTGCCTTCTAACTATATTCTGATTTTCCACAAATTAAGTTACACATAAAAGTGCCACATTATAAAAATGTAAACCCTTTTATGTCTCAGATTTTTACATTTAAAAAAGTTGTTTGGGGGCGCCTGGGTGGCTCAGCTGTTAAGCGTCTGCCTTCGGTTCAGGTCATGATCCCAGCGTCCTGGGATCGAGCCCCGCATCAGGCTCCCTGCCCTGCGGGAAGCCTGCTTCTCCCTCTCACACTCTCCCTGCTTGTGTTCCCTCTCTGGCTGTATCTCTCTGTCAAATAAATAAATAAAATCTTTAAAAAAAATAAAAAAATAAGTTGTTTGGAGAGATTTGGGGTAAAATCCGAAGTTCTTCAAGATAAAGCTACTTCTATTTCAACACTCAAAATACAACTAGGACTTTAGCTAATTTAACACCAGTTGCAGTCTTGACACACCTGAATCAGCCAGGCTTTAAGCTTATTAATGAATTTATGCCATACATTCTCAATGGGGCAACATCACCCCTAGTGGGAGTAAAAAAGGTTCAAGGCGGGGGTGGGGTGGGGTGGGGGTGGGGCCGAGAAGAAACAAAAAAAATCCCAACTTACTCCTTTTATGCACAGAGCACGGATATACATACATTACATAAATACATATACAGTATCTCCAGTACTAAATTTTCATAGGGAAAAATGGGGGGGATGTCTAAAAAGGCTCTCTACGGGAGTGACAATGAAAACCAGAGAAACAGTGCAATATATTAAAATCCCAGCTTTTTAAATTAATTGTTCAAAGATCCTATGTGAAAAAAAGCTAGGAAAATATAATGCAACTAATAGCCTGGCATGGCTTCATGAATTAGGTATAGAATCTAGTAAAAACAAACAAAAAACCCCAGTAAGTATGAACAAGGGTAGCTTTTATCTTGGATGATGGGTATAAGCACCCAACTCTCACAATGTATAAGCAGATGAAGCTAGGGTAGGGGGTAAAGGAGAGGCTACAGTTTAATCAACAGTGAAAACAAAGTAAGCCCAACCAACTAAGGATCTTGGTTCTATAACAGATTATACAAGAAAGTATGAGATTTATATTTGGCCCCTTATTTGTAGTTTAAAAATTCCATTTTTACAGTCTATTTTCATGGTTACAAATTTATATCAATAAACACACTGCCAATTCCTGGTTGTCTGAATTTGGATTTAAAACTTCAAAATAATTATAAAGCCCAACAATTTAACATTAATTCCAACATCTCCAGCTACCCTACTCTTTACAGAAAAAAAAAAAAATGAGGTTACTGCCATTAAACCTTAAATAAAAAACCAGGTGACAAAGTTGGGTTGAGTTTCATTAAGATTATATGAAATAATTACTTTATGTCACAAAGTAGATTTTTTTTTTTTGCTTGTTTAAGATTTTTATTTATTTATTTGACAGAAAGATAGAGCCAGAGAGCTCAAGTGGGTGGTGGTGGGGGAATGGCAGAGGGAGAGGGAGAAGCAGGCACCCCATGAGCAGGGAGCCTGACATAAGGCTCGATCCCAGAATCCCGGGCTCACGACCTGAGCTGAAGGCAGACACTTAACTAACTGAGCCACCTAAGCGCCCCACAAAATAGATTTTTAATAGCAATGGAAATTATATAATGTCAACACAAAGCATTTTCAAAATATTTTTATTATCCATCATATCTGAAAATGACCTCCTGAGGTAGATATGCTGTTTGTTATCTGTTCAGAAACTATCATTCGCCTAAATTTTCTCATTGCATTTCAATATACCTAACAGATAAGTTACTAGGTTTAAACAGCCCTCAGATCTCATAATCTTACCCTTCACTGAGAGGGACTTACAATCTCAGTCCAGGCAAAAGAAAAAAAAAAAGAGAGATAAGTGATAAAAGATGGAAAGGAAGACGTGACAGAAAGAGAAAGTATGAAAGGTAGAAAAATGCCCAGACTTCTGAAAGTTAGTCCTAGTCTCTCTAAGTAGGTCTAGTGATCATCACTGGGCTGTTACAAGGTTCATATAGTAAACTACAAAAGTACTTCCTAAAAGTTACTTTCTCCTTGACTAATAACTTCAAATAAATAAACAAACAAACAAATAAAAATAAAGGTCTGGAAGTGGTCACTTTTTAGAAGAAAAGAAACAAGGATTAAGGTCTGTCAAAAAGCTCCCAGTTTCATCTGTAATATTTGCATTTTTATGAGAAGAAAATACTCATGTATAATTTTTGTAACTAAAATTAAAAACCTGTACTGGTCAAACATATGAAAAAGGATTGTACATGAATGGTTTTGAGTAACAAGCAAAATTATACTAAATCTTAGCCTTGTGCCTTCAAAAGCATAGGCACACCTCCTTATAAGTAAGGATGACTGGACTGTCATTCTTGGCTTTCTTATTGTGATTTCAACCTTTTCACCAAGAAAGCACAGCAAACAAAAACAAGTGACAATAAAGGAACACCATGAACCCGTTTAATACATTTTTTAGTCAAGAATCTGCAAACCACCAACCACCAGTACTTTTACTTATTAAAAATTGCTTTTAGTCTACCTTATAAGAAAGATGTATATTCTACTTAACTGTTTAAAGCAAAATTCACTCTTTAAAAAAAAAAGGGTGAAATCAATACGTATTATACATATTTCTACAAAGCCACTATTTCTAATCAGGGAAATCTGTATTTTCTAACAAGGGAAGTTGCAAGCTGTCATTTACTCTAATTAAATTATTTTTAAGAGAAAACTTCACCAGCTATGGTAGAGGAAAGGAAACGTTCTAATCTCAGGTCTGCTGATAATAACTAGCCGTGTAACCCTAGCAAGATTTTTGTCCTCTTCGGCTTTCACTTTCTTCAGCTGTAAAATGAGTTAAAACTACACCATAATAAAGGTCTTTCCAGATTTAAACACCATTCTATGTGCTCATGGAAAGTAATCTTTTTGAACAACAGGACTGGGATTAAAGGACAATGTGTGAGGCTCCCTGTAACTTCTACTCATATGTCCTAGCAATACTTGAATTGTGTGCAGTTGTTACTTTATTACCAAACTAAGAATCATCTACAAGAGTAAAATAATCCCTTCATTTATGAAGAATCCTTCATCCTTGTAATATGAAGAGATCACATTTGAAACTTCATAAAGCAGTAAGAATGGGTATATGTAGTAAAATGTTTGCAAAAATGATCTTCAAATGCTTTAACCAATTTTGTCAGTTAAATGAGTACAAAAAATCGTGACAACAGAGGATGGTACACATGAATGCTTCCAGAATCCACTGAGAAGAATATTTTAATACCGTGAGGCTTCTTTCTCCAGTGAAGCATGTTTCAGGTAAACCTTATAAAAAAGAATTAAGTTCCTAGAAGTCATTTTAGAAGAACATACCCCATGTGGTCTTCTTGCCAAAAAGAACCAACTGGGAGAATGAACTATGGCAAGGGAAAATCACTGAAGAAATCATTTAAAAAGCCAAAAACCCAAACCTAGGAGACTCGCAAAATAAGCAAACAAAAAACAATAAATGTGAAACTCTTAAATAAATCTCAGCCACTATATAAGCCCTTTTTTCTTTGGATACTCATACTTTCAAAAGCCATAATATATACCAAATTATTGAGATTATGTATTAATTATTAACACAATTAATGTTTACATAAAAAGTGTAACAGTTAAGAGACCTACCTTTTATATGATAGCAAATAGTTTCCAGAGTTCTCAATAATTTATTTAGAACACCGTTTTTTAAGTATAGGCTTTTAAGTCAAACTGGGCTCAAATTTTGGCTCTCCCAGTTACTAGCTACATGCTTCTAGATATATTTAACCTTTTATATTTCAATTTCCTCATCTTAAATAGATATAACTATCTTACAGGGTTATGCAAACTGTGATAAAATATGTAAAGCCCTTAAAACAAAGCTTCGGATATTAATGTTCAATAAATGGTAGCCATTGTCTAAACACTATAGTTCACGGAAATCATTTCAAAAGTCAATTTTCAAAAATCCTAAGTAACTCATTTTTCCAGCATTCAATACTCAAATCAGCTAACATTTCTATCCTCAAAAAAACTCATTCTCTAAAATATTACCTATTTAACACACTAAATGGCATTTAAACACCAGATCTTATGTTACTATCATAAAATAATTTTCTATTATCTCTGTTATTAAAAAATCAGTATGTACAATCTTAATTCTAAATCTTTTTTATACAAATTATCCACTATGAGGTCAAAGTGTGCTTATTAATTCTAGAGTAAATCGTTTAAGCTTTTTACTAAGCTTTATAAATAAGCATTGTGACTACCACAGTAATTCTTTAAGAACTACTGGGAGTTGTGTACAATAAATTCCACTATGTTTTGTTTTTCGTTTTTGTTTTTATGTAGGCTCCATGCTGGGCATGGAGCCCAATGCCTGGGCTTGAATTCATGACCCTGAGGATCAAGACCTGAGCCGAAATCAAGAGGTTGATGCTTAACTGACTGAGCCACCTGGCACCCCTATTCCACTATGATTGTTATCTTACCGATTTTTTTGGAATGGTCGAGGCATATTCACAGCAGCAGCATTTGTTTTATAAGATCCTGGTGCATTAAAGCCATTCACAAAACTACCATTGGGAAAGGGAGCCTAAAAGAAAATGTAATGTTTGAAAACAATTAACAAAAAGGGCAAAACCTAGTGTGAAGGCTGTAAGAAACTCCTGATGAAGTAACCTAGCATCAAAATTTTTTTAAAGATTTTTTATTTTTACGTAATCTCTACACTCAACATGAGGCTTGAACTCACGACCCCGAGCTTAAGAGTCACATGCTCCACTCAGGATCCCCCTCAATTTCTTTTACAAGGCAAAAATAATTTTAAGCATTTTACTTGCTCAATTTTGTAATACTTCAAATATCACTTGATTTACAGAAGGAATTATTAGGTCATTACTTAAGTACATTTCTCTCTGAAAAAGTTGAACTGAAAACACTTTAAACTAATCAGGATTTACCCACTCTCTTATTTTAATTCATTCAGCAAAATCTAAAGAATAAAATTATAGGAACCAATAGCTCAAGTCTTAGTCACATGGGGATCAGGTATCTTTATCACTACTTAAAAGCCAGAAAGAAACCAATATGAACACAAAACAAAATAAAAAAATAAACTACTCTAGCTGATTTCTTCAAATTTCAGCTTGAGTGAAAAATTTTGTAATTCTGTAAGGATCTCACTTACCAGTGGTGTTTCAAAGTAAGGTGCAGGATTTGGTGACCAAGACTGAGGCACAATACTATAAACCGAGTACTGTTGGTGAGGATTATATACAGGCTGCATAAAAACTGGTGAGGCATACTGTGCTTGAGTTTGAATGGGCTGACTATACATACTAGAATCCATTAATCGATAACCATTCTTAGCAAAAAATGTATTGATGGCTTTTATCCTTGCCTAGAAGAAAGAGGAACAAATTATAATGAAGGACTGTGTATCTTCACAAATATATTTAATTTACATTTTAAACATATTTTACATGACTATGTTATTTCTGCCTACTATACAGTCAGTAGAGCAAAAGGAAATGACTGATAGCTTTAAATTATTTAAAAAACTTTTGCATGGCTAATACAACAATGAACAAAGTAAAACCACAAAAGTCAAAATAGTAAAACTAACTGCAACTTATCACAGACAAGGGGGCTAATATTCCTAATATACAAATTCTAAAAAAAAGATCAAAAAATGTGTTAGAGAAATGAACAGAGTTCACAGAGAAAAGAAAGGCAAATGGCTCTTAAACATATGCAAAGATGCTAAACCTTGCTTATAAGAGAAATGCGATTAAAAATGGAATTAACATTTCTTACTTACAGAATTGGCAAAAAATCCCAAAATTTGACAGCATACTTTGTTGGTAAGGTTGTGGCAAAATACACTGATGATGGGAATGTAAAACAGCACAACCCTTATAAACAAAAACTTAGCAATATCTTCCAAAAATCATATATGCATTTATCACATTCTCATCAATTCCACTTCAAGGAATCTTTTCCAAATACACACTGAACAAAAAGAAGTTTGTTTTTTTTTTTTTTTAAAGATTTTATTTATTTGAGAGAGAGAGAGAATGAGAGATAGAGAGCACCAGAGGGAAGAGGGTCAGAGGGAGAAGCAGACTCCCTGCTGAGCAGGGAGCCCAATGTGGGACTCGATCCCGTGACTCCAGGATCATGACCTGAGCCGAAGGCAGTTGCTTAACCAACTGAGCCACCCAGGCGCCGGAACAAAAAGAAGTTTTAAAAAAAGGATGCACATGGCTGTTCACTGACACTAACTGTAATAGGAAGGGGAAAAAACTATCCCCAACACACACACACACACACACACACACTGAACAGTCCATCAATGATTGAATACACTATATTACAGCCACACAATTGAGTATCATGCAGATGTAAACTGAGGAAGTGCTCTAAGTACTATTATGAAGTGATTTCCAGAATACATTATTGTTTAAAAAAAAAAGGCAAAGCAAGGAGGGTAAGAATAGGCATAAGTAAGCTACTGTTTAGCTAAGTCAGGTAACGGTCTAAGATATACTTGCATTCACACATATATATGTGTACGTATTTAATATACTGTTGTATTTTTTTTCAAAGATTTTATTTATTTATTTGACAGAGACACAGTGAGAGAGGGAACACAAGCAGAGGGAGTGGGAGCGGGAGAAGCAGGCTTCCCGTGGAGCAGGGAGCCCAACATGGGGCTAGATCCCAGGACTCTGGGATCATGACCCGATCCTAAGGCAAACGCTTAACCGACTGAACCACCTAGGTGCCCCTCATATACTGTTTTACTTTTAAACCATACACACGTTGAAAATAAAATTTAAAAAATCAATTGTAAAAGTTAAAAGCAAAATTAACCTAAATGTGCATCTGTGTTATATTAGTAATATAACAGAGAAATCATAAGTGATTTTGAGCCATAATAAAATAAACTGTTATGAATGTTCCTTAGGAATAAACCACAAGGCAAAGTATAGCAAAAAAATTTCTTAGTTTGTTTCCAGAATTATATTCCTACTGGTATTGTTATTCTGATACTTTGCATGTGATTATGGGATACAGCAAATCAATATTATATTGGGGTCACTGAGATCTGAGATTTTCACATGGGAGAAAGAAGACAGATGTGAGATCGAAGAAGTGAAAAGCATGTAGCCTCATGAGTATAAACTCATGATATATTTTTGTTAAAAACAAACAGGGGCGCCTGGGTGGCTCAGTCGTTAAGTGTCTGCCTTCGGCTCAGGTCATGATCCCAGGGTCCTGGGATCGAGCCCCACGTCGTCGGGCTTCCTGCTCTGCGGGAAGCCTGCTTCTCCCTCTCTCGCTCCCCCTGCTTGTGTTCCCTCTCTGTGTCCCTCTCTGTCAAATAAATAAATAAAATCTTTAAAAACAAATAAACAAACAAACAAACACACACATATTTCATAGCTCTGACCAATGAATGGCTTTTAAACAATGACCACACACAAGAACTCCTTGTGCCTAGCCAGTGGGCTGCAAAATATCATCTCCCCATAAAAGTAAAGTGGGAACCCTGGAGACTTGACTGACCCCAGGCCTCGGACACAAAATGTACAAGACACTGGAACATCTTGTCACACGGGGGAGCAAGCAAACCACTGAAAATTACTAAGGCCATGAGAAAAGGCCTCATAAGTTAACTCAAAAGAGGCCACAATGCATCAATAAGGACAACAGACACACCAATATGTTTAAATATCCAACAACAAAAAATACCGAAATGGTCATTTTTGAAGGTTTCTAGGGAACCAACACATCATTTTCAAAAACTGGTAATAGAAGCTAGAACCAAGCATTTATCATGCATTCCATATATGACCTGTACCTCAGGGTAATAAAGATGATGGCAAGCTTCCCTTTATAGAAGTCCTTCAACTAATAAATGGAAAAAAAAGAAAGCCTGAAAATAGCACCGCTTTGCAGCCTTTAATTAATAGATTTAGTCAATGATCAGTAGCACCTAGCATAAAAGAGACAGACACAAAAACAGACAGGCCTTTTGTTCTCTCTCTGCTGCTCCCAAATCAAACCAAATTTTGATCCTCTAAATCTAGCTACCAATTTGCATGAAGTACAGGAGACAGAGGATCATGCTAAACTACACTAAAAAATATAATTAGCCAATTCAAAAATGGGCAAAGGACTTGAATAGACATTTCTCCAATGTCTATTGGAGACAATATATAAGAAAGGAAATTCTGCAATATGCTACATGGATAAACTCTGAAGACATTGTTAAGTGACATAAACCAGTCACAAAGAAATACTGTATGACTTCATTTATATGAAGTAATGACAGTAGTCAAAAATCATAGACTAAAAGAATAATGGTGGTTGTCAGGGGCTAGAAGGAGGGGAGAATGGGGAAGTTATTGTTTAATAGGTACAGAATTTCAGTTTTACAAGATGAAGAAAGTTAACGTGAATGGATGGTGGTGAATGTGTTTAATGCAACTGCATTATATACTTAAAAGATGGTAAATTTTATATATATGTATTTTAACACAATAAAAAATATAGCTAGAAAATGAGAAACTCTGTAAAACAAATAACTTAGTTATTTCAACAACATATTTTCAAAAGAAAAAATAAATAAGGATGAAACTACAGATATAAACAAAGAAAAAAGACAAAAAAATGAGAATCAGGAAAATGTGATATTATAGCTATGATTTTTAAAAAATCCCTCTTTTGGAGCTACTAAAACTAGTTTATTTACAGATAAAATTAAGTTCCAAATTTGCTTCAAATTAATTGGGGGCATGGAGAAATGGGTGGGAATATGGATGAAGCAAGACCGGCCATGCTCTACAAACTGTTAAAACTGGCTGATGGGATTCTCAGTGATTGATTATACTATTTTCTCCACTTTTATATATGTTTGAAATTTCCTATACTAAGTTTAAGAAAAAAAAAGGAAAGAAAGCAATGCTCTAAAACTAAAACAAAGTCAGACCATTTGTTTACATATTACCTGTGGCTGCTTTTGTGCCATAATGGCAGAGTTGAGTAGTTACAACAGATTTCATGATTGGCAAAATCTACAATGTTAACTTTCTGGTCCTTTAAAGAAAAAGTTTACTGACCTTTGTAAAAGAACTAAATAAAACAGCAGCTCTTTCTGCTCATGGGTCCTGTCCCTGTGCTATAATAAAACCACCTATTTGCATCAAACGAACAAAAAACCCTAAAACAGGTGTAAGAGAGTTAGATTAGGAATCATCAGCCTCACTAACTTGTTAGGACTATCAAGTGAAATAATGCATTTTAAAGCATAAAAACATGACTTTAACAAATGAACGAAGGGTATGTTTTATGATCCTTATAAGCCAGGAATTCTCCTTCCCTCAAATTGTAACCAATCAAACAATAAGAAATCCATAATGGCCAATCTTGAAAAATCCTTAAAATATCAAATTGACTTTAATATGACCTAAAAAATTTTCAGCTGTTGCTTTTACTAATGTCATACACTGTAGTCTACTTAAATCTTAATATATCCCATAAGAAACTAAAACCAAGTAACATTATTTTTTGAATGTGGTCCATTATCAAGAAAATAGTAGCCCAAAGAAAACGACTCCAAGATAACCAGATACTGGAAACAGCAGACTAAGATTTTAATCCGGCCATTATGAATATATATGGATTAAGAGGAAACTGTGTTCTTAAGGAGCTGAACAAGAAGGGGAATCTCAGCAGAGGGGAAATATTTTTAAAACTGGAAGTTCCAGAACACAACTCGAAGATGAATAGAAACTATCCATAGAAATTATCCAATCCAAAGAAGAAAAAGAGATTGAAGAAAAATGAACAAAATCTCAGTGACACCAAGCAGTCCAATATATGTGTAATTGTGGAGTCTCAAAAGGAGGGTAGAGAAGTCAGGCAGAAATTCTTTTTGAAAAACTGGTAGTTGAAAATCCCCCCAATCCAGCAGACAAACATCAATGTGCAAAGCCAAGAAGTTCAGCACATACCAAGCAGGATATAAAAAACCCGTACCTTGAAACACAATAGTCAATCTACTGAAAACCAAACATAAAACAAAAAAATATCTTGATAGCAGGCAAAAAAGACCACATTATATAAAGAGAGTAACAATAATGCCTCACCAGAAACGAGAGAGGCCAGGAGACAACAGAATATCTTAAAAGAAAAAATTAGAACGATCAATCTAAAATTCCGTATTCATGGAAAATACCCATCAAAAATGAGTATCAAATATAGGACAGTTTTAAAATAAGTAGAAACTAAGAAAATTCATCACTGGTAGGCACTATAAGAAACATCAAATGAAGTTCTTTAGGCTGAAGGAACTAATACCAGACAGACCTCATCTACAGGAAGAACAGCAAT